TCACCCTCTCAAGCAATGTCCTGTTCATCCTCTATGCTAAACCATTCAACTAAGGAGTTTTAGGAGGAGTCTTCTTATGTGCAATACCATGTTGCTTGCAATAAAGATCAAAGGGTCCACAATACTCACCACCATTGTCAGTACGAATGCGTTTCAGCTTCTTTCCTGACTATCTTTCAACCAAGGCATGAAATTGTTTAAATCTCTCCAACACCTGGTCTTTTCTCTGCAAAGCATAGACCCATAGTTTCCTGGAACAATCATCAATAAAGGTAACAAAGTAAAGTGCACCACTAAAGAATTTCACCTTCAATGGAGCACAAACATCATAATGTACCAATTGCAACAACTATGACTTCCTTGAGGGAGGATGCTTCTTAAAGGATACTCTGGTTTGCTTGCCAGCCACGCAATAAGAACATTTCTCCAATTCTTCACTCTTTAACCCTTGAAGAACATATCTCTGAGTGGATATTAGTATAAAAGGTGTTTTGTTAATAATTCTTTTTTTGTAATAGAAGTTAACAATACTTTTAATGAAAAATTTAAAAAAATGGATAAAGTGTTTTATATTAGAACTTATCAAATGATGAAATTATAATTTTTAACATAAAAAGAAAGGACAATTAATATTTGTATCTCTTAAGGAAGGGAAGTGTAATTCACTATAGTAAAAATCATTAATAAAGAATATCAAATCTTTCTGTAAAAAATAGTAATAAATTACTTTCTGTTATTGATTATAAGCAATAAAAATGAACATTTTTTTTAAATGTAAGTTAATTTCACTTATCCTTATTTTATTTAAAGATATTCTTTTTAAAATAACTCTCATTGAATATATAACTTTTAGTTTCCTATTTATTTTTGTATTTATAACAGGACAATTTTATATATAAAAAAATTATTAAAAAAGCAAAATTTATTGCAGACAATTAATTTTTTTTTTATATTCTTATAATAAAGAAGAAAAGTAACAACAATTAAATTAAATATGGTATAAGTAACTAACTATGATAATCACAATTAAAACACATTTCCTTGATGATTTGAAGAATTATAGGTGTCTTTATCAACTGCACAGATCCTGAAATAGGAAATCTAAAGGAAATTGTCTCTTCGGCAACAAAGTTAGTCATTCACTACAAAATAGATTGAAAAAAAATTTAGAGCGGTGATTTAGTATGTAATGTCTAGTTTAATAAGGATTTAGATGGAGAGAGAAAGAAATAAAATTGGAAAATTAATTAGGTATAATATAGTCTGATAAAAAGAAAGAAGAGAGATAGATAAGATAAAAATTGGAAGAAACAAAAAGAAGAGATAAAATTTAGACTATTCCTTTGATTCATGTTTTAGGGTCATCTACAATTGTCTAATAGGACTCGTATTCAATTAACATGTCATTTAATACGTATTTAATGACATTTATTAGTTAGTATTAGTATGCGCTTACAATTACAAATTATTAATAAGTCTATAATTTTTATCTTTACTTTGTCTTTTTTATTCAAATATTTTTTTTAATTCATAAAAAATTAAATAAATTTTTCACAATTGAATTTTTAAATACAATTTAATTTTTATAATTAAAGAATTAATCAAAATAAGAAATAATTAAAACTAATACTCAAATTTTTTTTTACAAATATATATTATTTGATTGAAATAATTTTAGAGATTTTTACCTTGATTAGTATATTAAAATGTAAAAAAGATATAATTATTTTAAAAAATTGAGATGTGAGTATATAAAGCACCATGTGTCAACCTTGGTTTGACCTATCTAAGTTTTTGTTACGAGACAATCGATGTCACTTAACAAACAATCTTCCTCTCAAAAATTGATCATACGATCTTGGCATTGATACCAATTGCTAAATTGATCGTTTATCACTAGGTTAAAAGTTATAATTATTAGTTAAGATGAAACTTTTTTTACTTAACCGTAATAGTCTAAGCGTCACATGTCGACTGTGACTTGATTTACCTAGGCTTTTGTCATGAGACAATTGATGTCACTCGACAAACAATTTTCTCCTTAACAATTGATCATACAACCTTGACTTTGATATCAATTATTGGATTTAATGCTTATCATTAGGTTAAAAATTATAGTTATTAGTTAGGATACAACTCTTTTTACTTAATTGTAGTAGTTTAAGCGCTACATATCAACTGTAACTTGATCCACCTAGACTTTCGTAACAGAACAATTGATATCACTCAATAAACAATAAGAACATACATGAAATAACAATGCTATTGATAGAGCATAAATTAATAATCACAATAATTACATTTTAAAATTTTCACATACAAATTAAAGATGACAATAATTTTTTTATCACTTTTATATATTTAATATTTCTAAAATTGTTCACTATTTCAATTGTCAAGGTTGAATAATTTGTGAATTATCAATTTAAAGAAAAAAATAACATTACATTAAAAAGTGAATTGCAAGAAGGATGAAGTATATCAATAAAAAATAATAAATAATTTATTCTAAATTTTATTACACTCAAATAAATAAACAAATTTATACGGCTTCCAAAATATTGATATGATTAAGTGTTTAGATGGAGAGAGAGTAAAAAATATAATTGAGAAAATTAATTAAATGACATGATTTGATAAGAAGATAAGAAATTGATAAAATAGGAAATAGAAGAAATAAAATTCATTAGATGTAATAATATGATATTGTAAAAAGAGACAAAAATAATAAATACAATAGATAGAAAGAACATCATCATATATATCAATAATAATTAACTAGTTCATTGATGATAAGAAATCGATCAATATACATAAAGTTTTTAAAATTACTTTTATATCAATGAATGTAAATATTTGTTTCAAGAAAGAATCTCGATTAAATTAAAGAAATTACCCTAATTAAAAAATCATATGTATTGACTAATTTCTAATGAGTTACAATAGATTTTAGTAATCAAGTTGATGGGTTAAGGGATTCAACTAATCGAGTTGGTGATTCTGTGATTTGGACTAATGAACTTGCTGATTTTGAAAAGTGGTTCAATGAACCTGAGGATTGTTCTATAATCTACAAGATGATTGGGCTAGTCAATTTGAAGAATCTTTCTTTAAGAATATTTCTCTTCAATCTCAAAATGCACAATAAAGAGAAAGAGTTTTTCATGCCTAACCGCCATCATCACTTCTTAGATTCCAAACAGATTTTTGAATAGTTAACTTGGTGTTTTGGATTGTAATGTTCTTGTTATTAGTTTAACATGTGTTGTTTTCTTGAAAGTGGTATTTATGGGAAATGTGAGTTTTATGTTGTCAGAAATTAGTACAGACTGTAATTTGTAATTTCAGAGTATATTTTTATACTGGATAACACTTATTTTGAATTTATTATTCAAATTTAAAAATTGCTGATATGTGTCAAAAGGCATAACTGTGGTTGGAGAACTTATTTTTTTTTTTTTTCTGAGATATGCTCGCAGAAAGGGTTATATATATAAGATGTATTATTATTATTACTATAAATTATTATTATTATTATTATTATTATAATAAAAGATAGGATTATTACTATAATTTTATATCGATGCCACCAAATTACGTATAAACAGTGTTTCCAAATTTTCCCCAAATTATTGATCTTCCAAATTTTTATATTTCAATATAAGAAAAGTTAAATAATTATTCCTTTTATTATCAATATACACAAAATGTCTTTATTATTAGATAGAATATTCTTGACATCATATTACAAGAAATTTGGATATGATTATGAATCAATGTAAGATTTTATGCTAAATTGAATTTGTGAATATTACTAATTTAATATTAATTTAATGAAATTACAAAAATTGTTTCCAAAGAAGATTTTTATTAGATAACATATTCTAATTATTGTACATATTACAAGAAACTTGGATAAGATTAATAAATCAATTTAAGGTTTACACGATTGAATTGCATTTGTGCTTTGTGATTTATTTCACAACAGCTCTAATTCATAGCCGCAACGACAGTAGCATGCAATATTCCTTCGATTTGACCAATAATATCCAAAAATTGTAATCACCTAAAGTATAATTAAGTAGATAAAAATTTAATATCAAATAATTATAATAATGTTTTTTAATTCGTATCCCTTTTTAGTGTAAAAAAAAAATTTATATCGTACTTTATTTAAAGATTAAATAATTGACTAAAACATCGAATAAACGTTAGCAGTGTAGACTGAAAGAAATTTTATTACAATGCTCGAGGGTCAAATTATTCACCAAACATTCTTACTTTAATCTAAGAAACTTTTTAGTTAACTAAATAAAAAATTAACTAAAACGACATCTCAAACATTCCAATATATAAGGAATTTGGATTTCAATTTTAATCTTGGTTGCTGTATAATCTGATGCAGGCAGAACAGGTCAAGATTTTTAGTTGCTTTGCAATGTGATTTTCTTACGAGCTCAGAAACTGATTCTAGTTCAGAAATTCTAACTAGGTTTAAATCTAATTTTAATTCCTATAAAATTAATTTTTAATTTTGATCCTGTAAAAAAATTTCTTTATTTTTCATTCTTCTAAAAATTTATAAACATTCTTTATGATTCTTGTGAAATTTGTAAATCTTTATTTTGATCCTTGTAAAAAAAAATATATACATATATATATATATATTATTTTCATCATCTAAAATCTAAAGTTAGTATTTTTAATCACTAACATCATTTTAAAATAAATAAATAACATTTATTTTAAGGATCTATTAAATTTTTTAGAAATGTCAATTACTGACATAATATCACAACTAATTGTGAGATAACACTTAGAATGGTCATTTAATCTTTTCATAAATAAAAAGTTAAAAATAATTACATAAAAAATAGGAACTAAAAACTATGGTTTCAATTTAAAAAGGATGAAAAAAAAAATTACAAGAACTAAAATCAAAACATGCTAATTTTGTAGGGACTAAAAATATATTTAAATATTTTAACTATTTGGATAAATTTCTTTACAAGGGCCATCAAGTGTGTGTTTCCACTTTTTTTTTTCTTCTCTTTATTATGTAAAGATATAAACATTATATGGTATTTACATAAAACAAGGTTATGGTCTAGTAACAGAATAAATATGTAGCAAAGCCTTTCTAGTTACTTGTACAGAAACAACAGCATCTTTCTATTTTCCTACGCTGAGAACAATCTGAATGAATATTCTTCACTTAAATCAAGAGATGGCAAAAGTAATCAGCATAGAGAGGGTGATTGTCTTCAGAAAATGAAGGAGGTGGAAGATTGATTAGGTTTGATTTTGCGTTCATCAAGCCAAGAAATGATGTCACCAAAAACTTGGGTTATTATTTCATCAGGCTCACCCTCAAGAAGGGCATGGTAGGCCTCCTTGTAAAGCTTGAGCTTCTTGTCTGAAGAGCTTGCATTCTCATACAAGGTTTTGCTCACTGATGGATCAGTCACAGTGTCAGCCTCACCATGAAGTATTAATAGGGGTAGAGAAACCTGTAATCACAACCATTGCATGTGGAGATGAATAAATTTTGTTACACTAATGAATGCTCAAACCCAAAAGCACACTCTTTTTTAGCTAATCAATTCAGTCCCTTTTCACTGATATGACTAAGCCTTCGGTGCCACAAAGATGCCTCCATATCCATGACATTCACACTGCCTTTAGCAACGAAAGCTTTTGTCCAGTGCAGTTTAGAATTTTTCTCCCCTTTAGCCATAACCAAGTTACCTTTGGTGAGTTTTTACTTTCCAGAACCAAAGTGGTTATCATAACCACCATCATCAAGTATCTACACAGAGATCAAATTAAAACAGACATCAGGAGCATGTTTGACTCCTCTAAGCAACAACTGCATTCCCATGTTGGTTTGCAGGAAAACATCACCAACACCAATCACTTTAGACACACCATCATTATGCTACCATGCTGACAATGACATCATTTTTAGTGTTGTTAGTTATAGGGTATGGGCATGGTATAGTAATTTCATAAGTTTTCCACACTTGAGGATAGTAGTATATTGATACGTGTAAAGAACTACAGTTAGCTTGTATAGTGAGATGAATTATTCAAAGTAGATTGGTCAGTTGTAAGAAGCATGCAGATATATTTATTGCCTTCTTAACTAAGAATTTAGATCAATTTATGCATATTATAATTAAGAGAGAAAGATCAATGGAAATGCCCTATATATGCAGTGGACTGGTGTCTTAAGAAGACAGTGCAAAAAAGGTTGTCTTAAACGGATCATTATTTCTTAAAATTCAGGTTTAGACTTAATTCAACACCAAAAGTTAATTCGAGAGATAAGGGTTTTCCCACCACTCATATACTTTATTTTGGTGACATCACAATTTTATATAAAATCTTCGACACACGTCCTGAACATTTGTGAGTAGTTCAATAACGGGTAATCCAAAAGGTTTAATATCAATCACTAGCATGGTTGATGTGGCTGCAATTGCGATCAAGTCAAAAAACCTTTACATTACAGTAATTCCAGTTAAACACCACAATTTAAAACCATGATTGCTAGGATAGGTTCTAATTTCATCATAAAATTTGAGTTTAGGCCTAACTCAATTTTCAAAGTTAGTTTTTTAGGTAAAGATTATCCATCACTTGTATACTTTATTTTTTATTATATCATTAGTCAACGTAAGATCTCCAACATTAATTCTACCGTGACCTCAAGACATGACCTATTATTGATTCTAAAACTCCTAAAAATTCTACGGATCTTTTCTAGACACGTTTTCAGGGTTTTTTTAGCTCGTTTTAAAATTTACATGCATTAGTTTCAACTATTGAACTAGTTTTAGATGAAATATATTCCTAAGCTAGCATCTTTCCCTCCATAAACTTATGATCGTTTTGAACCTATTACATTTACCAAATTTCACACCAACTACAACCACCTAGTTTAGATAAGCCAGAAAATCAGAACATACTTCCTTCATTCGTCGATCTATTTCTTGAGTAGTTCTAAGCATTTCTACAGCAGTCCGCAAGCGTGGTTTATCCTTGTAAGAAATAACATTATAAACCGTCTGCAAAGACATTAGAAAAGTCAATCTCTTACAAACACACATATTACCAAAAAGAAATGCATAAAAACAATGGAGAAAAGATGGATCTTTTGATTTAGATTAGACCAAAAGTAACATTGTGTTGGACCACATTACAAAATACAAACCTGCTCCCTCTTCTTCAAATCTCTGAATGCAGCCTCTGCTAAATCCTTTTGTGGAACTAACTTGTGCTTTGGGAAAACACTGGCTACACCAATCAGGATCTGAGTGACCACCATTGGTGGAACCATGTCATCTGCAATCTACACAGATTTTCAGGTCAAAGCAAAGTCCATCAGAACTCCAAACATGATTGTGTTTCAAGAAAAATACTTTACACATGGGTGCAACGAGAATGGCGCCATCCCATGCCTTAGGCTGTTTCATGTGTATCTTTAATGCAACAGCTCCACCCATGGACTCTCCAAATAAAAAACTGGGAAGAGAATGGAATGGCGGATTTTCTGCCACATAAACCAAACCTTTTGAATGAATACAATAATAAAAATGTTCCTTGCTATTAAGTTATTTTAACTTGTTTCCCATGTGAAATGAAAACAGACGTAACATTCACAATTATGCAAAGGATGTACTTCCAATGTTTCCATGTCAAAGCCACACTTCTTTTTTCCAGGTAAGGAAGAACATTAGGCAAACATTAACAACTAAGGTACATGCCTTTTTTTTTAACACATAATGACACTCATAGGTGACATCTAGATATTTCCTTCACCAGAAACGTAACTCAAAGCTTTGCAATTCATCAGAGAAGAATTCACCAATAATTCTAATAAGCTAGAAGTGTTTTTGAGAATTTTTTTACTTGAAAAAGCTCTTTATTTTCGATAGAGGAACTTTCTAAAGTGATTCTAAACTTGTATATAAACAAACTTTAATTCTATTTGTAGAACATCTATTTGACAGATGCACCTTGAGCATATTTGGATACAGAGTAGATGCATTTTTGAGTTTTGAGAGCTTTTCTACTGAAAATAAATAGTATTTTTTAGTAGAGAAGCTCTTAAAAACACTTCCAAACTTGTATCCAAACATGTTCTTTAGCTACTGCCTAAATTAGAAGATATATGAATAAAAATGAGATGAAAAAGTTCAACCTTATGAATTTCATTTTATAAAGCCTAATATTTTCTCTTTTCCCACAGGTGTGAAACTCATTCCCCTTTCTAAACCTCAAAATAAACAGAATTTGATGTTCCCCTTAGCTTTCAAGTCTTATTTTCCTAAAATCACTCAAAAACATTTTTGCTTTGACCCTCTTATGGTTAATTCTAGCTTCCACTCCTGCTCAATACTATTGACAGATACAACTCATTAATTGACTCTCATTTTTTCTGATATTCACCATGCGCTTGTCTATTTGGAGCATTACTTCATAGTATAGACTACTTTTAGAAGGAAAACTTTTCTAGTACTCAACAAACCAAACAACAACAACAAAGAATTATCCAACTAGGTGAGAATTCAAGATATCTTAACTCTGCCTCAGGTAAATATGATCAGTTAATCACAGATCTCAGGACACAACCTAGTATTGATTTTCATGATGACTGAAATTCATGACCAGGGGGTTGATGGGAGTATGTACAAGTACCTCTGATTTTTGTGTACTGCTCAATGACAGTATCAACAAGTCCATCAAAACTAGGAATATAACAATGGAGACCTTCTGAAAGACCAAATCCTGGATAATCCATGGCAAAAACTGCATATCCATGTGATGCTAGCATTCTAGCAATTCCTGCATAAAAAATCCATGATACTATTGAGTTGCTGATCCTCAAGGTAACAGAATTTAGTTACTTATAGCTGCTACTAGTTTCTTAATACCAGCTACATGCCTTCAAAGAAAAAAGTGCATGTGTCTCCATAACCATGACAGAAAAACACTGCTGCTTTGGGCCTTGATAATGGAAGCCAACTTTTGTGGAAGATTTCTATGCCCTTTGAGTTCTTCTCATATGACTGTTGCATAGCACACAAATTAAGTGATCATCACATGTTAACAGAAAAACAGGACAATGACAAGTTGGCATTGATGATATCAACTTCTTTTTAGGTAACTACTTAGAAGAAACATGAATTTCATGAAACTGTTTTAGACTAAACTTCGTACTTACCTCTTCCATTTTTATTCCTTCACATGGAGTCTGCAAAACAGAAAAATATAAGAGTTGATTTCAGCATTTAAAGGGAACAAAATTTTACTAAATTAGAGTGACATAGCACATCAGGTAAAACAATCACTGCAACATGTAACCCAAAAAATGATCCCTGTACCAAAATGCTAATTCCAAAAGCCAGGACTATGGAAATGTCTATCTTTTTTCTTTTATCAGTAAAAATTACAATGAGGATAACAAGGTTGAACTTAAGACTATATAAAATTGATGGATTTGAAACAGCATTGAGAAAAGTAAAACAACTGTACAAATCTTGTTGCATATGATAGGTGTGTGAAGCAAATTGAATAAGAAGGAATAAGGAAGCCACAATACTAGAGTCCAAAAAGTAATAATAAAATGAATAAGAAGGAATAATAACCACCAAACAATTCAGTCAGCTATCTTAATATCGTGAGTCCCTACAGGTTCTTGAGCAGTCAATAAAATAAAAGAGAAATGCTACAATAGCATTTATGAACGTCTCTCTATAACACATTTTTTATCGGGTCATGTTACACATTTGCACAAGAAATTGGAGCAAATTTTTGCATAAGTACAGCGTTTACAAACAATCAAAAAAACCTAGAAAAATATTACGATAGATTTAGCAGTTGTACTACCTTAACTGTCATGTAAGAATTGCCCTAATTATTATTCTAATATATCTTAAACTTTTGATTCATTGTGTATATAACCACTACAGTTATGCAACAATTACTCTAGAAATGGACTTTTGAAAGATTACCTAACAATCTCTAAAGAATTGCATATATATAAACACTATAGTTGCATTGATGACTAGCCCCTTTGCATTTAAGAACACCCCCCCTCCCCCAACAAAAGAAAAAAAAAACCCTCTTTGTCACTTTGCCAATAAGGAGATAAAGAAGACTCTCATGTCACTGATCCAACTTCAAAACTTTACCAATAAGGAGATAAATTAGACTAGAGTATTCATGACTTATTCCGTCTCACTAATCCAACTTGTTCTTATTTTCTTTATCATGGCAAATTTTTGTGAAAAAGCATAATTAGTCACTTCTAGTAGAAATTTGAAATTAATTTCACTTAATTTTATTGGATTTAGATTTTAAAAATTAGCGTCAAGACATTTTCATCCTGGTAACCCAGCCTAAACCAAATCCAAAGTTACAACAGAACATAACAACCCCCTCTCCCATCTTTTAAAAAGAAAAAAGAAAAACTAAGTATTTTGAATAGGAATTCAACTTACATTTAATAGCTATAACAGAACATAACAACCCCTCTCCCCCTCTTTGGCTTTACTAACAAAGAGAAAATCAGAACAGACTCTCTCCCTCTCTTCAACGTAATTGCCAACTAGAAATCTCAAAGTCAAAGTTCCAAATCCACGTAACCATGTTGAAACAGTTTCACCAACCATGTACTTTACCAATTAATATCCTCAGAGCATAATAGTAAAAAAGGCCATAACCAAATCTTTTGCGACATATCAACTTGATGCAATTGCAGTCTCCCCCAGAATCAAAAAATAATAAAAATTTACTCACAAGACAAAACCAAACTAATTAAAACAAAAACAAAGTGTAGATTAATCAGATTCATTACATCATCAATTCCACCAAAAGAAAAGGAACAAAACCAAACCTTAAACAATATATGATCAATCCCAAGTTGAACATCCTTGAAGGCCTCACGTGCACGCCTTCTAGCATCCACTTCATCCATCTTAGCACTCAAAATCTTCTGCAATTCTGCACTAACACCTGGAATCCTCATGTTTGATGACACCTTTTTCAATTCTCTCCTCTTACTCCTCTTCCTCTTGACACAAAATGCTGCTCTGAATCCTACACCACCCCCAACACACTTGGATTCAGTCTGATCTAAAGAGCCAGAAACAGAATCATAGAAAACAGACTCTGACACAAACCCATTAAAGAAAATGGTAATGGGTATAGAATATTAAAATCAAAATGAAAACTTTTTTTTTTCACTTTTGGTTTTTTTTATTCAAATACCAACCATTCAAAGGGTGGCACTGATAAAGCTTTGTGGGTCTCTGAGCAAATATCGATTTAATCATTATTTTATTAAAACTAACGTGAATAGGATCCGCATAATAAGGAAAATATGACTCAGGATATAAAGGATGAGGATATGTGGTGAAGAAATTAATTGCTAAGCAAAAATTAAAAAAAAAAATTGAGTAAAAAAATGGGAATCAAAGTATTTAATTTTGGCTTTTCATTTTCTGATATGAAAAGTTGATTATGGAAAGTGGAATTTGTCTAAAGTTGGAAATTTCTTTGTTTAAAAAATGAAGAAGAGAGAGAGAGAAGAAAAGTATTTGTTTCCCTTTGTATATGGAAGCTAGGATTTGACTGAAGTTAAAAAATAATAATTATGGTTCCTTTGTTTATATGATATGATATGATTTTGAATTTAACACGTTATGTTAAGGTTGGGATGAGGTTTGAAGTGGAAAGCGGAAGGTTCTGTCCAAACTCCAAAGGACGAAGAAAGAAGATGATGGTTGACGTATGAGATTACGTCGGCAGAGAGATAAATTATGAGAGAATTTTTTAATTAAACATTTTAAAATATACTTGTAACTTTTTTTTTTAATGTTTTATATTATTAAATAAATTTTTTTATTAAAATAAACTTAAATATGTTTTAATCTTTTTTCAAGACTAAAAAAAATCCTTCAAAATGAATTATTTTTTATTTTGATTTCTATAAACTTTCTTTAGTTTTATATTTTTCTAAAATTAAAATTGTTGTTTTAATACCTAATATTTTGTGATTTCTCTTAATTATTTTGGTGCTTATTATATGTTTAAGTGATTATTTTTAATGATATCTACGATTGTATTTGATATTATTCTAAATTTTTAAGACAAATATTATTTATCTATCTAAATAAGTATTAAAGATAAAATATAGTAATTTTAGACTTTAGATTTTAGAGTAATAAAATTTAAAGAAAAATATTTTATAGGAACTAAAATATAAAAAAATCACATTTTTAAGGACCAAAAAAGGTTTAAAATTTAGAAGAATAAAAAATAAAGAAACACTTTTATAGAGAAAAATAAAAACGTGCTCATTTTATAAGGACTAAGAACATATTTAACATTTTAAAATAAGATGTGTAATTTTATTAAATACTTTCCTACTATATTAGAAAAATCATTAAGAGTATATTAAAAAATTACAATGTAGATTAATTTAAAGATATTTTTTTATTTGTAAAAATCAAATCGGTATCAATTAATTTCTAGAGTGGTTACCGTAACATCGTGTTCAATAAAAGATAATATATAGATACTATTCTAGTGTGTTGTTAGCAACAATGTACAAATATGATGTTTTTACTAGTGTCACATGAATGATAACATATAATTCGTGTCCATTACATACGCATTATAATTATATATGTCATTGTTTATTATGTTGTGGATGAACTAAGTATGATGATGATGTGTAATTGTGTGTGCTATATCACATTGTATATGTTGTTTGTGTTTGACTAGTCAATTTGCATTCTTACACTAAGAACCGGAGTGAAATGTTTCTCACTCATTTTTCTTTGTGTTGTCTGTAACGTAGTGAGTAGATATCAGAGTTTAGTTGACTCTAGAGAGAGGTGTATATAAGGGTTTCTCTGAGAAGGGAACTTCATAAGTTCATTCTCAAGGAAACCTGGAGAGAAGTTTTAGAGAGAAGGACTCTGGTCCGTGAGCTCTTTTCTCTCCCAAATTTCTCTGTTTGATTCCTCTTCTCTTCTAGGTTACTAATCTCTTCAATCTTCTCTTGAATTTCATACTAGAAAGCTTGCTTTTGGAGGATTGAAATTCGCGAGTCGAGCTCTAGAGGAATTTCTTTGCTTCTTCTCAGTTCTTGGCTTTCTAAGCCAATCTTCAGGTGATGGAAGCTAGAATGTAGATTGGTTGGTTGCATGTGAGCTTAGGAACTCAATTGATGCATGAATCTTGAGAATCCATGGTTGGATTGGAGAAATTCTCATTTTTCGGGGTTTTAAGAAAAATGGGATTTTTGGTGATTTTGATGCATCGGATGGGTGCATGTTGATTCTGAGTCTTTTTTTGTGTTGTATGGAGCCTATGCATTGTGTTTCCTTGTTTGCATGTGACTAGATTTGCTGATTTTCAAGTATTGGAGGCTGTTGCTTAAATTTTCATCGAGCGCAGTTCTTGGAGTCGGGCATGCACTCATCTGAGACACCCATTTCTTGATCGCTCTAGGCGCGAGGTTAGTCGCGCCGGGCAAGATCATGAATGAGGAGTCTCTAGTTGAGAGCGTGTCAGGCATGAGGGGAACCACGCCAAGCGCAATATCAGATAGTGACTTGAAGGGCATTTTTCTGGTATGGTGTCAGGTCCATGTTAGGTGCACCGGGCATGGAGACCCCTAGAGGTCTTTGTGTTGGGTTGCGCCGGGCGCAGGGAGGGTTGCGCCGGGCTTGGAGACTCTTAGGTTGGGGTTAGGCCAGGCACGCTCAGGTTGTGCCGAGCGTGAACATGTTTATTAATGATTGTTTTAAAATGATGCTTAGGCATGTGTTGAAAGTTGAAGATTTGATCATGTATGTATGATATATGATGTGTGGTGATGCATGATTCATATGTATGCTTGGTAACGATATGTATGAATGTTTATATATGATATGACATGTGTATATGTTCATATGAGGATGATATTGATCATGATGGTGGATTGACCATGTATGATGTATGATGCATTATTGCATGTGATGCCTTATGACATGTGTCTAGCCTAGGACTTGAGGAGAGGGAAATATTTTCGAACTAGAAAAGCTCACATAGAGTCTCTTGAGAGTGGTGCTTGGATAGGCCATTGATATATATATGAGAGTGGTTCTTAGATAGGCCACTGGTTTTGGGTGAGAATGGTGTTTAGGTAGGCTATTGGTTTGGGTGAGTCTCCTCTAAGTCCTTAGCTAGTGTTGGAGCGAGGTATGAGGTCGAGGGTTATTCTCTTAACCAAGTATTGAGGAAGGTGCGTGATTCCTTGCGAATAGTCGGTGGGCAAACTCCACAAGTGACTTGGTAATGCATGCCAAGGTTGTCGTAAACCTGTACCCAGCTATGTTATACCTAACGATGGAACCGGACTTCCAATTGTGTAAGTGACATCATCCGAGTAAACCCGAGTGAGGATTTATATCCTGTTTAGTTGTGACCGATCGGGTGCATTGGGCATGAAAACGATTGGGGTGGTTTCAGTAGGATTGGGGTGTCACTTATATTACTCTGTTGTTAGGGAGATCTCCTAGGTGTATGCGTGACGAAGCATTAGATGATTGATATGCATTGATATCTGTCATAAGTTGCATGTATTGCATGACTGCTATAATGATGAAGTGTATGGTGTTTGACTTCATGTTTGATGATTGATTGAGATAGAAGTTCCTTTGGGACTTGATTTGAATGCATGTGTAGTATATATTTTATTCTGTACTTGTATGATTGCTTTTTGAACTCTAGCTTACCCTTCTGTTTCCATGTGGATGGACTATGATGATCATACCTTGTATGGGAACAGGTCAGGGCTAGCTTGGAGTTGAGGTGACCGCTGCGAGAGGAGGAGTTTTGTCCTAGTGTCAGAGTTACCTTCTTGGGTAACTGTTGTGTGTGCTTGACCGGCACTAGGAGGTTATGATTTTAGGATAACTGTACATATATGGTGCTATATTTTGTACATAGAAACAAATATTATATTTATATTTACATACTTGTATGTATGAGTCATTCAGTTTCTATATTCTCTTAGTTCACTAGTATGTGATTCCACTAAGTGTAGGGACCATGGCGGGTCGTTGCACTTTTATAGTATCAAAGTCGGTCGAGTCTTTTGGATACTCTATGGAGAGTGATCCTTCTAGGTTTCTATTGTGTTATATCTCTGATATGTGTTTAGTTTTGGTGATTTATGATGGTATAGCATTACTAAAAGAATGTTTGGATTCTTTCAGTATGGTGAGGCCTTAGTATGATCAGATCGCTAGAGTCATGGAGATGATGGTCATGGCGATGCTAACCCACAAACTTATAATTTATTTCTATTTTATGTAATTAATATATTCTTAACTTATATTATAAATTTTATTAATAAACTAATTAAACCCATATATAAATATTATTAAAATAATTTATTTATTTTTCATAAAAAAATATGTTACCACTTGAATCAATATGTATGCGCCTTTTTACTTATTCCAAGACTCATCCAAAAGCCTCCAAAAAATAGTGGTTGTGACACTCTCTACCCCAACATGAATATATAATAATTAAAAGAAATATCCTATTGGGTTAAAAAAAATCTTTAGAATTAAAACAACAATTCCAATAACATGAGAGTAGAGAATTCATATTCATCAACTTAAAACTTGATCAAATGCTAAAAAAATGAAACATGAGTTCTTCCTAAACAAAATACAATAATGAAGTCCTAATTACACCTAGCTATGCCCCGATGTCACATATCCTATCAGAGCATGCCCAACTGAAGTTTAAGCCTCATCACCAACATCCTCATGTTGATGATCACCTGCAACACAATTTTAAACACATACGAAGGACAACAAGGGAGTGAGAAACATCTTACTCGGTTCTAAGTGGAGAAATAACAGTTAGGCAACACACACAAAAATCATCCAAGCACAGCCATAGCTACACACTATTTAGGTACAAATTCAAATTATACATACAATAATAACACATGCACAGTCATTCATCATGCAATGATCTCATGGACTTGACTCATAAATGCATGTGGCGCCAGTCACGTGTCTTATAATAACATTTCTCATCATTTCATCACTAGTGACGCAAGGTACACCTTGTTAGCTTGTTACATCACTTGGTGACCAAAAGGTACACCTAATTAGCTGGTTACATCACTTGGTGACCTAATTAGCTGGTTACATCACTTGGTGATCTGATTAGCTGGTTACATCAGTTGGTGACCAAAGGTACACCTGATTAGCTTGTTACATCACGTGGTGACCCAAGGTACACCTGATTAGCTTGTTACATCACGTGGTGACCAAAGGTACACCTGATTAGCTTGTTACATCACGTGGTGACCAAAGGTACACCTGATTAGGTTGTTACATCACGTGGTGACCCAAGGTATACCTGGTTAGCTTATAAATGCAAATGATGCATGTCACACATTCACAATTTCATTGACTCAACATTCCACATCTCATCATATCTCATGTCACATTATTTCACAATGTCATATCATAGATCATATGTTCACCTTTCACATTCTCACATCATATTCACATAGTATCATACAAGAAACTTCTCGTAATCATATACATCAAAATAGTACATAAATCATACCAAGAACTTATCCAAAACATGAAGTCATCATCAACTTTACATATAATGCCTCAAATCATCCA